CCCCCCCCACTGTGGAAGGCCCCATATGGGATGTGCTCTTGTCACATCTAGGGGTGTCTCTACTATGATGGCTTTTGCAGTTGTCCCACCTGGCTTCCTATGCCTACCAGCAGAACTCCTTTTAGGGTGTGGTAATTTCAGAAAAATTCTCTATAGTACCCTTCTTCCTCAAGATTGCTTGGAAGGCTGGGCTACCTGGGTTGACTAAGGAGAGTAGCTGTGTCTGAGACATTGTGGATAGCTCCCAATCAGGACCTTGTTCCTAGAACTCACCCTGAATGGAGAACTCCCTGTGACCAACTGTGCAGAAGGGGTGGCCTAAAAGGCCTGGGGCAGTGATGACTAGACTCTCATAGGCATCTAAAACCATCTCCTGGGGAGGGCCAGGCCCTGAACCAGGTCTTCTTTGGCATTTGGGGGTGACCAACTATCCTGGTTTACCCAGGTCTATGCCAATTTTAGCACTGAATGTCCCACATCCCAGGACACTCCTCAGTCTTGAGCCAATGGGGATGGTTTTCAACCTCTGATTTTGTTCTATCAGCTGATGAAGAAAACTTCATGGTTGAGAGAATGTGACATTACAGTGCAATAATTTATTCCACATGTGTCAGTTAAAGGCCTTCCAATGACTTGTCAGTTTTGTCTTGGGAGTCTTACTATTCCTCTGGGAGAGAGAGAGACAGGAGATGCACATTATCATCCTCCCTGTGACTGACTGTACCCAGAGGGGGCTAGGCCACCTGTCCCTAGAGTGGGAATAAAGAGCCAGACACAGAACAGGCTCTGAATCTGTGAACAGTGTCCTCCTCTCCACCTGGAAGTGATGAATGTTCACTCCCACGCATAAGGAGGCTCACTATTGGGACCACTTACCTGAAAGGATATTGGTGATGTCGCCCTCTCTTTCACCAGCATTTGCTAAACTGGGTTGGGAGGTGACCTTTCCGGTAGGAGACCAACAGGTCACACATTTCTGGCTTTAGCCTCACTCCTGAAACTGTAAACAAAGACTCCTCTGTAGGGAGGAAAAGAAAAAAGCACCAACATATTATTTCCTGGAATCTTTCATGGTCTATTTTTATGTCTGTTGTAATATTTGTCACCTGAAGAGACATCAAAACATGAGGCAGGCTTACCCACCAATAATTTATACCGACTCACGGATAGCTTGCTTTACTGAATCTACTAATAGTTGTCAAATGCCTCTTATTTGATTCAATTCAACATATATTTACCAAATGAGCACTTGGGTAAGGTGTTATGCTAGGTGTTGAAGATCCAAAAACAGGAATAGAACTGGGGACACACACACACTGACAAACAAGGGCTGAAAGTGAGGTGCAAACAAAGAATTATGACAGCTGCTCTCCTACATCTCCCAGGGAGCACAGGGAAAGCATAGACAAGTGCCCTTGGGGCCTGTGAAGGAGGTCTGTACTTTCAACAGTTAAGGAATTCTAGGGAGGATATTGCTGGCTGGGGAATCAGCATGAGCAAAGGCAGGGAGGAAGGAAAGTCTTTGACAGAACTGCAAAGTAATCTTGCATGGTTATAGCAAGACAGACTAGTAGATAAAGTTGGAAAAATGAGTTGAAACCAGATGGTGAAGGGAGTAATATCAAGCCAAGGAGTCTGGTTAAGAGTCCCAGTGATGGTAGGCAATGAACATCATGCCGGGGCTAGATGTGTTTTGGAAAGTTTAAATCCTAGTGCATTTGTTACATCAGGCAATCTATTTAATAGACTCTATGGTACAAGTCTTGTACCATATATTATATAATGATAAATTATATAATATTATTATATAATATATAAATATTATATTACAATATAATATTATATATTATAATATATAATGTTTATATATTATATTATATAGTAATTTCTATACACACATATATATAATGTGTTATAATATATAATAATTTATACACACACACACACACACACACTACCTTTGCCCTCTGATTTATGTATTGGGTTAGTTTAGTATGCTGGAAGTTTGCATTTTTATAAATGCCTGTGTTTGTTAGTTGTGTGTTGTTCCTGAGTGCTTATTACACTAAAGTTATAGGTCAAGTCCTCCCAAAGTAAACATTTTAAGCGACTCATCTGCAAAATGGGGATGATAAAACTTCCTGGCAGTTGCTGTAAGTTTAAAGGAGATGATATATGAAAAACATCTTGGGTTGTTCTTGATGCACAATATATTTTTAATAACTAGTAGCCTTTGTTACAAGCCATTAGCATAGATGCCATCTGGGAGAAACAGCAAGAGGCAATAGCCACATTGTCACCAAAGCACATCTACAAACCTACTCAGGGCATCTTTCATTGGGCATTGCTTTTCCAAGGCTCACAATCTGTACAAACCTGGGTTGCTCTAAATATTGCACACTTTGGGGTACCTGGGTGGCTCAGCCAGTTAAGCGTCTGACTTCTGCTCAGGTCATGATCTTACCATTTGTGAGTTCGAGCCCCTCATTGGGCTCTCTGCTGTCAGCACAGACCCCACTTCGGGGCCTCTGTCCCTCTCTCTCTCTGTCCCTCCTCTACTCATCCTCTTTCTCTCTCTCTCTCCAAATAAATACATAAACTTTAAGAAAAAGTAAATATTGCACAATTTAACAAGAAATGAATTTGCAGGGCCATATCTACTTTGCTTGGCCTAGACATCTGCCTTCGATGTCATGAGTAGTCTGTGGCCTTGAGTCCTTGGGTCTGGAATTACACATTTGCTAGGCTATAAGGGGGAGGCATCAAGTTTGGTGGTACACAGAATACATTTTCACAGGTACTTTATAATACATAACTTTGTATTCTACTTTTTTTCTAGCTCATGTCATAGCATAAACAACTAAAATAAACAGTGTGCACACTTCACAGGTTATTCTCAAATCAATGCAAACCCAAACCACTTTGGAAATTTCCCTCAGAGAGGTGTCCTCTTGCCTTGGGGACAGAGGCATGAAGATTTCTCTCAGGCTTCCTTGTCCTTCAAAAGCAGCAGCACCTCAAAAGCCAGGAAGGAGGCAGGAGGGAGAGAGGGAGAGAGGAAAAGGGGGAAAAAAGGAGGAGGAGAAGAGAGGGGAAAAAGGGAGAAAGGGACGGGGGAAGCCATAGAAAGGGAGAAGAAGAGGAAGAAGGAGGAGGAATCAGAGGCAGAGAAAAAAAGGAAGACAGAAGGGGAAGAAAGAGGGGCGCCTGGGTGGCTAAGTCAGTTGAGCATCTGAATTCGGCTCAGGTCACGATCAAATGGGTTCATGAGTTCAAGCCCTGCATAGGGTTCTCTGCTGTCAGCACAGAGCCTGCTTAGGATCCTGTCTCCCTCTCTCTCTGCCCCTCCCCCCTCTCAAAAAAATAAAACATTAAGAAAAAAGAAACAGGTATTTATATGAAAAAAAAGGGGGGAGGAAAGCAGAGCAGAGAGAAAGAAGGGAATTGGGAGACAGAAGGGAGAGAGGGAAAGGATAAGAGGGAGAGAGGAAGGAAGAGAGAAATTCTCTGGTAGAACAGTGTTGGGAAAACACTCAGTTAATCAAAGGGATTCCAATTTGGCCATGGACTGCCTGACTCTCCTTCCTGACTCAGAAAAAGAAAACAAAAGCAAGAGAAAAAAAAAAGGAAGAAAGAAAAAGAGAGAAGGAAAAAAGGCAGCAGAGCAGTTCTGCAGCAATCTCACAGATGCAAAACCTTCCATTCTACTGACTCCTCATTAGCTTACTGAATCTGACAGCATAATTATCACAGCTGCTTCGCACTTAGAATAAATAAATACGAAAGTGGGTGTTTAAAATTTTTTGAGAAGGGAAATTCAGTCATCTAGACAGTCAGTAGGACAAGTTTATTTAAAACTTTTAGATTCTTATGTATTTAGATCATTTCGGAACGAGATAATGAGATAGTTGTCTTTCAGTCTAATTGAGTTCCTAAGCTCCTGGCTGTTGGCTGTCACCCCTTTCAAACTTTGCTTTAACTTTCCTTCCTTTAGAAATCTGATCCTGGTGTCTCCATTTACTCTTCCTGGGCTGATAACCTGGTGAAGGCTGGGTGCACTGGAGTGCAGAAAGTGACTTAATGGGATTGAGGAGCTAAATAACCTTTCACAGGAAACAAGATAATCAAATCTCTTTTACTTGCCTGTAATGGCTAAAAGAGAAAGCACGAGCTGAAAAGAAAGCTTGGAAATTAAACCATCATTTCAAAATGTCTTGTAATTTCCCTGTCACGTGGTTTTTCGCACTGCTCTTACACATTGTCAATCCATCAGCTGGAGTTGCTTAGTGCATTTAATTATTCAGAGTGCACACAGCCTCGTGACTACGTGGTAATTTTAGCTCATGTGTATGTATATAGGCTTCGTATCTTCAAAGCCCAAAGGATCACACAGCACTACTTTAAGTTGAAGTTGCTAACTAACATGGAGTGCACTTAAAACTCTGACTGGGGGCACAGCACATATGCATTTCCGATTAAAGCAGATGATCTTTCCTTTTAAAATTAATTAGTGCCTATTTATCTTTTCCTCTCCCTCCCACCTCTCATTCTCCTAGGACCACATTTATGTGAACCCTTGCATTCAGTGAGTTAAAAGCTTTATAAAATAAACATTCTGTCAATCTGGGACAAAGGAAACTAATGTTAACCCATTGTGCAGACTGAGAAATTGAGGTTTATGAAGGCCAATAACAGATGCTACGTTGGAAAAAAAGAAGATAACTTAGGTCCTTTAACTCTCAGTCTGGAGCCTGGACTCCCAATACCATTTGCCTTACCTCATTCTTTTAAACAATAAAGGCAATACAACATCAACATTAAACAAAACTTCGAAAAAGAAAAAAAGTTACCCACAATCCTCCTAAACTAGGAAGAGCATTTTTATTTTTGTACTCTACCTTTCAGTTTTGTTTATATGCATAATACATGTTCACAGGTACATTAAAATATGCAATTTTGTATCCTACTTTCTTTTAGCTCACGTCATAATAGCATAAACATTTCCATATTCGCTAACACTCCTGCAAGTTTCTTTTCTTTTTTTTAAGTTGGCTCCATGCCCAACGGGGGGGTGGTGGTCGGGGGGGGGGGGGGGGGGTGGCTTAGACTCAGGACCCTGAGATCAAGAGTCACATGCTCTACTGACTGAGCCGGCCAGGTGCCCCTCCTGTGAATTATTTTAAATGGTTACTTAGTACTATATGCTGAGTCAATATAACAACATTATCCAATCTGTTCTCTAGTGTTGAATACTTAGACCGTTTCTTTTTATTTTATACTTTTTAAGATAAAATTATAGACAACACTACGATGAATATTTTTATGCATCTAAGGTTCTTTTTCTTTCTTTCTTTTCTGTTTAATTGTTTCTTTGCATAATTTCCAGAAACCAAAGTGTAGAGTTAAAGGTTGTGACCATTTTTTATGGCTCCTGATATGTGTGCCATAATGTTTTGCAAAGGTTGCTCCAACTTACAACACCACCAGCAGAATATCATTTTACCACAATCTCACTGACACTGGGGAGTCATTAGGTTAAGGGGAAAAAAATAACTACTTTAACAGTTATTTGTATTTATTTAATCATTAGTAAGGCTGTCTTTTTATTCCATATGTTGGTATGCTTTTTTTGTTTTCCTTATGTGAATTGCTATTTTATGCTTTTGCCCATTTTTTGTTGGATTCCTGAAATTACTTTATAAAATTGAATGAGTTATAGTAAAACAAACAAACAAAAAGAACCACCATTGATTAAGAACTTTTAAAACCCAGGGTGTCTGGGTGGCTCAGTCGGTTAAGTGTCAGACTCTTGATTTCGGCTGAGGTCATGATCTCACAGTTGTGAAATGGAGCCCCAAGTCGCGCTCTGCACTGGGTGTGGAGCCTGCTTAACATTCTCTCCCTCCCTCTTCTTGTGCCCCTCCTCCTCATGCACGTGTGTGCTTGTTCTCAAAAAAAAAAAAAAAATCTTAAAACCCAAGGATGACTGTGTATTACAAAACAAACAAAAACAAAAAA